CTGATGGAGATTCAACCGAGGGACGGTAATGAGGACATGAAAAACGCCGATTTGTATGACACCAGCGACTACCCCAAGGACCATGCCATACACAGCACGGTAAATAAAAAGGTCTTAGGTAAGATGAAGGACGAGTGTGCTGGCACACCCATAGCTGAGTACATAGGTTTGAGGCCTAAGATGTACTCCATCCTGAAGGCCGACAATGGTGAGATTCGGAAGGCGAAGGGTGTTAAGAAGTACGTGGTGAAACAACACATCAAACACGCCAGATTCAAGGAAGCCCTGTTCAAGACCCGTACCTTTAGACATAAAATGAACACACTTAGAAGTGATGGGCATAGGATATACGGACTGATGATAAGCAAGACGTCCCTGTCGCCGATGGACACTAAGCGTTGGATAGCTATTGATGGGATCAACACGTACGCGTACGGGCATGAGAAAATTGAACCAAGAACATAGGTGTACATGTCACGGAACCAGAGAAAGTTTGAGGCTATTTACTACAGCCTGCGTGGGCACTGGAAAGGAGCTAGCGCTGTACATAAGCTGGCTAAAATGGCGCGAGTACCCCCGGAGGAGGCCAAAGCGTGGCTTGAATAACAAGCCCTGTGGCAGGTCTATTTACCGGCACCACACTACGTGCCTAGAAGGAAGTTCGGTATTAACATACCCAATAGCGTTCACCAGGCCGACCTCCTGTCCCTACCCCACGCTAAGAGGTACAAGTATGCCTTAACCGTCGTGGATGTGGCCAGTCGCTACAAGGAAGCTGAACCCTTGACCGCGAAAGACTCGGCCCATCAGTATGCGAGAGAGATGGCCAACCCGGGGAAACGATCGACTGAATGGGTAGCGCGGCTACCTCAGGTGGTGTCAGCCATCAACCATGAAGCCACTCGGCTCACTGGTAAGAAACCGGCAGACGCTATAAAACTAAAATCAATAGTGGCAGAGTCGGCTGCTCCATTGCGTGGGAAGGAGAAACAGATACCAGATAGGGTCCTAGTGAGGTACCTATACCAGCCGGGGGAACACGAGGGTGATAGCCGTAAGCAAGCCACTGACCCAATATGGTCAGTCAAAACTTACAACATAGATAAAGTGGACATCAAAGCAGACGAGCCGAACTTGTACTACTTGAGAGATGGGCCAGGGAGAGGGCGGGAAATTAACGGGGGCTCAAAAGTAGTAGATACAATGGTGGCGAGATCTAAGGGCCTGACAAAAGCTTTATTTGTGAAATAAGGCTTTGCAGAGGCTTTTGTTGGACTTGATCCCGGACTATCATTATATATACTACTCATGTTATATTTTCTCTTCCTCCCCCATTTACTCTCATCCATTTCCACCACATGACCAACTCCACCAAGTACAACAGGGTCATCAAGAAGAGAACGAGACATTAAATCACGGTGTAGATTATACCAGTTATAGACAGTGTTCTCACACACGCTCAACATTTTCACAGCGATGTGACCTGGAATGTCATGGCAAAAAAAGGTTCAAGATCATTAACAATGTACCAAGTGGGGCTTTCTGGCCCTCCCAGAAACTTCCAAATCTTACAGATTTACATTTCCTACATTTTGTGCAACGCCATACATGACCATCAGATTTGGTCTTTCTGTCTTTTTGCCATGCCATGCCATGGACATTTGACATTTTTCACAGTTCATTGTTGAGGCAAGCAGGTTATTTTCTTTCATGAAATCAAAGGTCTTCAGTGTCATTGCATATTGCACCCATCTGAATTAAATCACACTCCATGTATTGGCTGTGTTTCAATACATACAATATCCAGTTAAATACTTAAATGCCTCCAAAGCCAACCAACAACTGTATGATTTAGAATGAACACCAGTGCACAAGAGTGACTCTACCCACCAGAACAATCTTCCAACAAAGGTAAGTCCATCAAATCGTCTCATCAGTAGAATTTTAAATCCTCCATGGGAAATGATTGCAAAATCATACATGATGTAGGTATCCCCAAATATACGTTGAACTGCCTCGTCTTCAAATGTCACATCTTGTAAAGATTCCTGAGTTGAAATATGGTTCCAGTTCACAGCAAGATTGTTCACAATATTGGTGCGGTTAAACATGGCAATATGAGTAATGTATGATTGTTTCTTCTTTGACCACCAAACCAGTAATTGTTTTATTCTTCCTTCCTTGGCAGGCAAGCCGTCAGCAACTCTCCTCAGTTCATTCAAATATCCTGAGACAAACATGTTGTCAATCATGAATAACACACACAAAAACAAGCCCCAAGTTCGTCAAACTTTTCATGGAAGCCACTCAGATTTTTGGTCAGTAGGGTCCTGATGGTGCAGTCAATAGTGTTTTTAGGTGGATACCTGAATGTCTGGTGAATATAAAATTTCAAATTCAGTCTGTTCATATAAAATAATGCATTCAAAGTGTTTCTTTTGTACCTTCTCTTGTTGAACGTCCTTTTCTGTCTTAGTTGATACTTGTAGTAACATAAAACATCCAAATCATGTTCAGGAAACAGTGGTTTAAATCCATGAGAATATACACTGACTGACTGACTGAGTTTGGCTTTACGCCGCTTTTAGCAATATTCCAGCAACATCACGGCGGGGGACACCAGAAATGGGCTTCACACATTGTGCCCATGTGGGGATTCGAACCCGGGTCTTCGGCATGACGAGCCAACGCTTTAACCATTAGGCTGCCCCACCGCCCCCATGAGAATATAGATGTTCATTTACCTCATCTTCCTGAAAATCTTCAACTGGGGCAAAGTTACTTTTGGATGTAAATCCACAAAAATTACAAAATCTGTCCTTATCCTTGAAGACAGGGAAATTTCGACTAAGCCAGAACTCAGTTTTACAAACACGAAGACTCCTACAGCAGCTTAAATTCACACAGCATTCTCGAAACTTTTCCATGTTCCATAATTCCGAAGCTATATTGTCGTGTAGACCTGCCGTAGTGAAAATTCGGCAGATGTAGTAAGCAATTACCATATGACCCTTATCTATGACGTCAAAGGTCAAAATCTCAGCCAATGGCGTCATAGACACCGTGAGCACTTATCCACAAAAGGAAACAACTCATGAATATCAATGAGTGCACGGCCTAGTTTTCCGGAGCACGGCCCAGTGTCTTTTGCTATTGTTTTGCTTTATTGGAATTATTTCATACATTCTGAATCAATGTGTCACACTTAGATTGAATTTTTGAGTATTTGTTTGTCAGACATGATTTATTTGGTGTTTTCAACGTACATTACTTTCGAATGTGGGCCCACATTTGCCTGATCGAAGTTGATGTTGATGTTATCTTTTCGTCTTGTTCTACTTTATTCTACGCCTTCCTCGTGATGGACCTACTACCTTGTAGTTCAACAGAAGATATTGATGTTATCTTTTCGTCTTGTTCTACTTTATTCTACGCCTTCCTCGTGATGGTCCTGCTACCTTGTAGTTCAACAGAAGATGTTGATGTTATCTTTTTGTCTTGTTCTACTTTATTCTACGCCTTCCTCATGATGGTCCTACTACCTTGTAGTTCAACAGAAGATGTTGATGTTATCTTTTTGTCTTGTTCTACTTTATCCTGGGCATAGATCACTGTCACCTGGTGTAGCTAGGGCATTGTAGTACTGACATACCCATGACTCTATAGACTGTGAGGCCAGTCTTGTACTTCACGCAGAGGGGGTCGACTTTCCACTTACTGACCTCTGCTCTCTCAGCAATGACATCAGTGAAGTGTTGATTCCAAATACCTACGAGTTTTCGAAGTGTTCCGCTCCAAAGTTCCTTTCTCATCTTTGGATGATCAATTGGTACTGAATGTTAAACGAGTTAAGAACCATCCTGTCTTCCATTTCACGGCCTTCCAGCATGTGACTGCGGGGGATGGTATCAAAGCAGGGACCGTCCAGATTAAGGTCTTAGACTTTAATTCACTGAGGTCTGAGAAATCGCGGCAATTTGGGGCTTACTTGCCAAACTGCGTCCTTTGTCTTGAACAAAAGTTGTGGCTGAAAAACACATTGATTCGGGACCACCCACTCCCGAGAGTCTTTGTGCTGTGTAAGCCAAGGGTTTTATCAATGAGAAGCAATCCATCGCAAGTTATGGAGTATAGTATATCGGGAGTTGGTGCTTTCTCCAGGCCTCCTTGTGCAATGCGACTTCACGGTTCTTATACTTTGACACAGGGTAATCTGCGTCCCACCATCCGACCAGGGGATAAATGCATACCATAAGATAGTTTAAAACTTATCAAATTTTAACTATAAATTGTAGGTTTGTAATACTTATCCTATCTCACGCGATGGATTCTCACCAGACCTTCCCCACATCACAGATAACTTGGGGCTTTAAGACGAGAATGATAGTAGTGGGATGTCATGTGACTGTCCTGGGCACTTTGCACGCTTGACAGGGATGATTGACGTGTCCAGGAATGGGAACGGTGGGGAGCGATCGAATGGGAGAGAGGCCAGAAGATTTGATTTGACTTAGCCTACAGCATGTTTCTACGCCATGGTCGAAGTAAGAGAGTGAAGTGCATACCATGAGATAGAATAAGTATATAATTATACAATTTATAGTTACAATTTCCAATATCTAAAACCAGTAGCTGAATTGAATACATAGGTAAGGAAGATTTAAAATATTGTTAAAAAATAGTGAGGTTGACATTTGAGGTTTATTTGTTCAATAAATAGAAGTAGCTGACATTTGCAAGACAAGAATTTATTGTGAGGGATATTGATTATTTGTCCTCTTGTTAGATCATACAGATAATATTCAGAATTACACAGAAAATTGATTTCATCACAAAAGATAACCTAACAGTTATCATCAGGACTCATTTATGCACATGCAAAACATACACAATAAAGGTAGAAGTGTTACAGTATCATAAATATTATGCATTCTAAAAGTATTTGAGTAATAATGATCTTGTTTTGTTTTGACATTAAATGACTCTTTTGTTTTTTCCAGGACCATAACTCCAAACTGGGAATGAAGATTGAGATGTTACAAGAAAAGTAAGCTATAATGGGTTTTTTTTACAAAGTTTTCATCAGATGTTGATTCTTTTGTGCCAAGACACTTTTTTCACAATTTCTTTATATATAGATTGATATGTGTTTTATGTCTACTGGGGCAGGATAGCCTACGACCACAGTCTCAGACGGTTATAGCTGAGCACATATCTATACCTGATAAAACATTGAATTAATCTGCCCAACCCATAAGTTAAAATGCTTCAAAGAAATATTTGGTTGTGTAATCATAAATGATTCGTAAAATGTGTTTGAGTACCTACGTGCGGCAGCTAGTTTGTGTGATCTGGACTTTTCTCCATGAACAATTCAACTGGATTTCTAGATTTTACATAATGAACATTTCAATATTATATAGCCATTATTTATGGTAACATGGATTAGCCAATAGCACATTGCAGGGAGAGCCACATTCAAATGATCACTCAACCATGCCTATTGCCAGTTGAGACACACCATTTTCAACTCTGTTTTTCTGAAACATGGCTTTCCTGGGCTATAACCACGCTGAGTAATCATAAAGACACAGTCCAACAGTAGCTCTCACAGGCTGATGAACTGGAATACTGGTCTATTGACCAAGTATAGACTTAAACTGACAATAAACCTTTTATCTCTGTAATTCTTATTTCACAAATTACGGAAGCTCTAATGGAGAATACTAACGCCCAAAAAAGTTTTCATAGGGGTAAAGGCATTCTAAAAGTCACCTTCCATGATTAAAATTGAACAAAACGTTTGTAAAATAGGTAAAAACACGTTAAAAACCCACTCGTATTTCCGCCTATTACGCAAACACCCGACAATTAATGAGCAGAAACAGGTATCATGTGACACGAAGTCTTATGCGCCCATTGCCGATGGCTTCCAATTTGATTTTACCAGACAACTTGATAGTGACCATGGATTATGAAGTTGTAAAAGATGTTGCCGATGTCATTTTTGACATGGATGTTAGACCATATCAGTAAGAGTGGATTTTAAATCTTGCAAGAGAAACTTCCAGTGAAGAATCAAGCGAAACGGAGGCACTTTTAACTTTCTGTTACTCGTCCTCAATGCAGACTGTTTTGAACCACATTCAACATTGACAATGGATACTCACATATACGTTGTCAGCAGAGCATGTTTCCACAACATTTATAACATCAAGAAAGTGTGTTACCATCTGGATACACCTACCGCCAAGCTTGTTGATGCAGTGTCTTGTGTCTTCCAAGATTGATTACTGTAATGCCCTGTATGCAAATCTTCCAAACAAAGACATCTTCAAGCTACAGAGGATTTAGAACTCGGCAGCTAGGTGTATCTCTAAGATTCCTAAATCAGAGCATATAACACCAGTTCTCAAAACCTTGCATTGGGTCCCGTCTCCTCTTGTATTGTCTACAAGGTTTGCTGCATAACTCTTCAATGACAGTTATCCATCATATCTAAAGGACCTGATCTCCCTTTACTCCCCAGAACACTCACTCCGACGTCCAATGATCACCAAATAAATCAACTTCTTTCCACCTCTATGATGTCTGATTGTGCCTTTTCAGTTTGCAGTCCCATGTTCTGGAACTCTCTACCTTCAGAATTAATGACCACTATATCCAAAGAGAATTTCAATTGTCTCCTCATAATGTACCTCTTTTGCATTGCCATTCACTAGACTCTATGGAATTTGTCTGTACATATGTTCCTTGACTTTTTTTTATTTTTTCAAAGTGCCATTGAGCACCTATTGATGGATACGATGTGCTATTTAAATCCATTATTATGTTCTACGGATTAAAAATAATGATATAAATTAATTCATTAGCCTTATCAAGAAGGACATGGTCAGGTTTGTTGGCTGGAATTTCTTTTGAGGCTGAATATGGGCCTATTCCAAGAAGTTTAAAATCATCTTGTTCCATGATGCCCTGGACATGTTCAGGGTCGTACGTACCATGGATGGACATTTGAGTCAGAGCCACAGGCATGGTGAAAACAATAGTAGAAGCAACGAGCCATACCATCATGTCTTTTAAGATATGCTGTTTGTGCCAAGGAACAGCATCCACTGACAAGGTGTTGGTCAGTATCTGTACATTCATTACACAGTCGACATTTCATGTTATATTTTCTTTAGAACCACATTGAGGTGATTGTGAGTGGGAAGTGACTAGTCCAGAGCAGCAAAAGGAAGCCCTCAGTTTCAGATTTAAGACCAGCCGCCTTTATCCGATTGCTGTTCTGTTCCACACACTGCATGTACACACGATGCTATGGCTTCTCCACAAATCACCGACTTTGGGCAGACTTGGTGAATGACTTCACTTGGTTTACTCACATTGCTGTACCGTCCAGCAGAACAGTGCCATCAACAAAATCAACCTCAAATTTCAGATTGTGTCCAAAAACCTTGGCACACTTAAAATAGCTGTGTAATTTCTTGCTGTCTTCATGACTCTTGACATGAGTAGTGTAGAGGGTAGCGGTCTGATATCACTCTCTCAAGAACGATGGGATTGTATCCGGCCAAGGACGAAGTGGTCAAAACACTGGAAACCATGGACGCCTTTTGTTTGCGACAAATAAGCGACATCAAACACCAACTAGAAATGAACGTGATGTACGAAGCCTAGAAATGAACGTGATGTAGGAAGCGCATTGTGCAAAAAGTACCACAGAGCCATAAATACTGTTGTATAGACACAACAGTAGGGGCAGCCAGCGTCTGCTTATTATCGACTATCGGAGGCACACCCGTTGTCCAAGGGTTTGCGACGGGACATAAGCCATGAGTAGAATCCCGCTATTGCAGCAGCATCGAAGGCCTTTCACCTTGAATGTTATCGGTCGTGCTTATCTGATCGAGATAAATGCACAGCTTGCGATAGGGAACTGGGTTGGGCAATTTCGTGCCCATCACGGTGGTTTGCGGTGGTATATCGTTCAACGTCAACCCAAGCGTTCTGGCCAGAGGTCGGACGAATTTCAAGTTGTCTTTCCCGTTGTTCGATAGCACGACCACAGGTTTCGACCAAGCCAAGTGGCCATTTTCAATAACAAGCCCAGCAGCCACGAGACGATGCTGCTTGGGATGCCTGGGAGTGCTTCGGCGGCTAGTTTAGCGAGTGCTTTCCTGGGAGATTTCAGATGTTTTTTTATCCTGTCTCTGACATCGTCAGTAGGGTGGCGTGGTGGCATGCTGCCGCCGGTCAGGGAAACGACTCAGGTCGATATGATGAAGCCGAGCGCCGTCAGAACACTGGTGATGATGATCCCTTGTTCCCGGAACAGAGTTTGGATCCTGTTGGCTAATGTGGTGTCTTCGTTTAAGACTCTGCCGATGCTTTCTCACTCTTGGCTGATTTGCAATCGGAGCATTTCTCAGTTGGTGGAAGCCGTTTCCAGTTGGGACAATTTCTGGTCTTCGCGCAATGTTTTGGTCATCATGTCGACCTCGTATTGGTCCTGTGTTTCTGTGAGTTTTCTTTTCTCAAGAGCTATGCGGTCGTAAGTGTGTTCACTTTCTCAATGTTGTTCAAGAGCTCTCCACGTATGGTTCTCAGCCTCGTCTAGAGTTTTAAGTTCTTGATGGGAACACCGCTGTGGCTCCGAGCTCGGTACTTGCTGTTTGCAGATCTTTGGTGGCCATCAGTGGAAGTTTGGGTCATCCGCCGCCGTAATCTGTCTGGACGAAGTTGACGCCGTGTTTTCCGACCAGAGTCGACAGAGCAAGGGTTTTTCTCGTACGGGTGTTCATGAGATCGACCACCAGATTTATCAATTTTGAGCTTTGAATAGTCATGGTACGGGGGCACGACATAATTCTTATCTCGCCTTAAAGCATCGTAATAATCATTCACGGTCTGCTTTAAGAGTTCGCCTACGGTGTCGCCTATGGACGAGGTGTCTGCGGCATCATCATCATCATCATCAAGCAACGGGGTGTTGTGGTAGTTAAATTGTCCATTCCGATATCGTCGCTGCCTTCAGCCATTATCCATTTATATTAAATTTATAATTTATATTACAATGTTGCAATACGAAATAAAGCTGGATCCTTTCCGAAGATTGAGGGAACCGCTCAGAGTCAAAGCCGTTTGTCAATCCGTGACGATCACTAACAATCCGAGCACAAGTAAACAAAACCAAACACTGCTGGTTCGATTCCCCAACCTGGGTGAGAATGACGTCATAGTCCCGGCTCTACTGGCTTTTCAGATCACTTTGGAATCCGAGGACAGCAAAAGAGAACTCATGAAGAACATCGGTCGAGCCATCGTCAAGAAACGAGGGAACGAGGTCCTGAGCATCTACGACAGTGGCGTATTTTTCAGTTACACAGACCTCTGGAGAACCAAGAGCGAAAGAGAAAACATGAAATACCAAGGTATTTGTGAGCATGTGTGCTGATTTGTTGAGGTTGCACACGGGGTATGCTTTTGAGCAAGGTACGTGCATCCATTTTAGAGAGGAAGATAAAGCCGTAGCCGGGGTGTTCGGGAACGGGTTTTGCATTCTGCTCAACTTCGAGATGCTCGAGGGACACATGCCCTTTTATCAAGCCATGCTGGGCGACAGGCTGGAATACAAACTCACATTCAATGACTACGGCAAAGTTATCCTTACACCAGACGGCACCGAGGCCAGCTACGTCGTCGACAACATTTCCCTGGAGTTCGACATGGTCACGAGCCCGGAACTGGCCCGGCAGATTCGCAGCCAGTACTCGTGAAAGCTGTCCATCCGGTACAATCGCGTTTTGCTGCACTGGAAGATCGTCAAGGACAAGAGTGACACGCTGTGGAACATCCACCTGAATGTGAAGGCCCGACCAATGAAAGGCATTTTGATAATTCCTGCTGTGGAATACCAGCTGTTTCGAAGAGACAGCGAAGCCATTTGGAACCCCGATATCACCAAAGTGGAAGTGACCGTCGAGGGCGTGCCCAACCAGCTGTTCAGCCAAGGCATAAGAGCCTACCAACAGTGGGACGAAATCT